ATTGACATACGTTTAATCCTAAATCGACCGCCGCGCAGCGGTTTCGATGATCGTTTCAAATACAATATGGACACATTGTTATTATTATTATTATTTATTCTAATAGGTACGTATCGTAATTAACATAATAATATAATATTATAAAATATAATTATAATAATAATAATAATAATAATAATAATAAAAAGGTAACAAAAAAATAAAAGATAAATTGTACGCATTGAATTGACACGAAATGTTTACAAAGAAATACACACATATAACATATGTGTGTGTATGTGTGTGTGTGTACGTGTGTTATAAAGTATCCGAGAGGGATGGCGTTGGACCCTGTGGCACATGTAATATAAAATAAATCGTTTGTTGTAAGCCCGACATCGGGAAAGACCTATGTAGAAAATTTAGAACTATTTATATATTATATTAGTTATAATCTATTTTTTTTTTTTTTTTTTTGGTGCTTTGCCACAGATTTTTCACATTTGATTATCATAAGCTTGGCTGACACGAAACTACGAAGTGTAATGAAAAATAAACGTCTGCATTGATAAAATAGGTATACAAATATGAAATATAGAATATTTACCTATCTCTCTAATAATTATTATCATATTCATCATGTTTAAAATATTATAGTAATTCAGTTGCCCTGATATATTATATTAACGATTGTATTGTCTTTATATAATATTAATATGCTGATCGGTGACTGATGATTCCTAAAGGGAAATATAAATTTATAGAACCGAAGAAATTATTATTATTATTATTATCATATTGATTTCTAACGGTCGCAGTATTTGCACAGCTGCGTTACTGCATAGATTATAACGTCGTACACTACTATCGGACGAACTGCCGACACTAACGAACTGACCACCGTGTCATATTATTGCGCGTAACAGAAGAGTCGGTAGATCCTGTACGACCACTACTTTAACGATACAAAAACGATAATATGAGAAGTCAACTCAACTACTGAGCACTCCCGAGGAGGGTTGACGATTTAAAACATTCCCCCCTCCCCGTCCACGAGGCCTTTAATTTATTGTTCTGTAGAATAATTGTTTTATTAAAATATATATTATACAAATATACGTTACACTATTATTATTATTATATTATGATCGGCGGAAAAACAGAGAGGATGGGCGAAACCGACCTTGGTAATGGTGTTCACGATTATACGTCTAGACAAGAAAAATAACACGAGTACGTTATTATTATTTATATATATATAGTTGAACCCAAAACGCGATTGCTACGTTCTACTATAAGATAATTGACATTTTTTTTATTTATGAATACGGATTAACAACATTCGATCGTTTTACACACTAAGCACTAAGTTATATCATAATGATAATGGTTATAGTAAATAAATAGTTCTTATTGATTATAACGTTAAGTTTCGTCGTTTCGAATAATTGAAAAATAAAAATAATATTATCGGAATATCTTTGAGGCGATATCGTGTGCTTCATAATATAAACGTCGATGGGACAACGCGTGGTATTTGGTGTTGGGGCTTAAGAGAGAATAATGTAATGAACACGCACGACGAGGGTGAGTTGTTAAGTAGAAATGTTCCAAGCATCAGGAAACAACGACGACGAATATGTAAAATAGCCATAAAAATGTTCGATTGTTCTACATAATACCACGGTACACGGCTGTTTATCATTAGACACACATAACATGCTCTTAGAACTATTTTACCAAAGGCGGACGTATGTGTCGTTCTTCGGTAAATCGCAACATAATCATTATAAAGATAACATAGTAATCATAACCATAATAATTATAATAATAATAATAATAATAATAATAATAGTAATAGCAATGGCACATGATCAGAAATGTTAAATAATAATATTAATAAAGACATAATAACTCATAGAATCGAAAGAAAAAAGAAACTCAAAAAATTAAATCGAACGTAAATAGTCTCAATAGTAAAATATATAAAATATAATCAATCGTAAATATTATGTCAAACAAAACTTAACATGGTCGAAAATACGCACCCTGATTAAATGTTTGTGATTTTGGGAATCTATTATGAAATATTTGTTATTATTGGGATTTCATTTTCGGAAACGCTCCCGTAAAAAGTCTGCGAAATTGAAATAACGAAAATAATCTCCGTTTGCATGTAATTGATAAATAAATGATCGTGTATTAATTTTATTCAGGGGTTTCTCTCTTTACTATTCCCAATGTTATTATTAAATTGTTAAAAATTACGTTGGCACAAATATTAGATAATAATAATATTTTAAATATTATTACGTGTTGTCTACAAAGTTAAAAATGCTAATAATAAAAATACATAATAATAATATTTAAAAATTATACATACATATATATTTATATATATATATATATATGATTAAAATAAAAAATTGCTACAACTTTATAATAAGCCGTTCGTCGTATATGTCAATGGTATGATCCCATTGACGACTCTACATGGCCATATACGATATATAGGAAACGTGAAACCAGTGTACAAATATGGTGGGGCAAACATTAACCTTATACGCTACTAATAATGATTACCAATTAATAGGCACAGCTTATATCTTTTTTATACACTACACAATATTATTACCATAATATTGTACGTGTATATAATATTTCCAACTACCGAATAAAATGTATAAAAATAAAACGAAACCAAAATATATAAAATTATATATACTTACTTAATAATATCTAAATTCAAGCGAATAAAATCTACTTAAAATCAAAATCAAAACCACACAAAACACTGACTAGATACATTTCTTTCTTATTACCTTAAAATATATAAAAATCAAGTAATCATGGAATGTACATAGGAAGTAATAAAAATGTTAGTAGGACGTTTGGAAGAACTTACAGTATAAATATGTTACTGACTGGAAAACAATATCGCTTGAAATAAAAAAAAAAATGGATAAATGTTTTCGAAATTAATTATCATGTATTATAAAAATTATATTAAAAAAATGTATAACAAGTTTTAATTATCTTTAAACAAAAAAAAAAAAAAATAAAAATAAATAATGAGAAATAAATAAAACAAAAATGCGCATTGTCATACAAAAAATTATCATAGGAGAAAATAATTATGTCGATAATATTTGCTGATAAAACATAATAATGTTGTGCAACAAAGTTATTCATTATTGAACTTAAACAATAAGGAAAATGTATATTTCAATATACATTTCCTTTTCTATTTTAATTTGTTTTTATACCGAACTTCAGCAACTAATCGTTTAACTTATATGGGGGACAAGCGCAAGTTTACAAAGCTATTAGCTAACTAAATGCCTCATTATTAATTAATATTATAATCGTCAATAATAAATAATAATATCGAAAATATCAATTAAAAATGCAAAAATAATAATAATAATAATAATAATAATAATAATAATAATAATGATAATAATAATAATAATAATAATAATAATAATAATAATAATAAAAAATAATAATAAACGCGTAAAACACAAACACAAACACTACATTAAAGCTAAATTATAGTATTAATTTAATTTCGAGGTGCATTAAAAAAATAAAGAAAAATAAAATACTGTGAAGACACTATTATCCTTAACTATAAGAATACGAAAGTACAAAAAAATCAATTAAGAATAAAAGTCTAATCATGGAATACCGCACATTTTTTTTTTTTTTTTTTTTTAAATATAAAAAGGAGAAAATTAACTAAAATTAAACTCAACAATAATAATATCCAATAACTACTTAGACAAAGAAAAACAAAAAACTAGTGAGCAAATCCCACTATAACAATTATTACTCCCAAATAAAAAAATGTTTGTTGTTTTAGTACTTTTATGTTTGTACACATTATAATTAAGATTTCAACGCTTGATTATTAATAAAAAATAACAACGCAAAACATGAGAATTACACACATACAAAAAAATTGATTTAGTAATTAATATAATTCTAGTATATGTAATTATATATAATAAATGTATAATTAGGACAAAAAAAAATATTGTAAACCTGTACATGTACTAAAATATTTTTGAGTTCGAATATAGAAATGTACGAAAATCAAAGGATAAACAACTTAATAATAATTTTTAGGTAGGTATTTTTTTTTTTAAATAATACAGGTTAAAAAAATATGGTGCGAGCATCTATACATTAAGTGGCGAAAAAAATAGGAGACTCGGAATCCGAAATTTGACTAGCAAAGTCCCATAGAAAGGAACGCTTCAACAAATCAGAGCAGATACTTTGATGTAATAACAAAAATATTAAATAAAAACAATTAAACGACATTAAAATTAATTTAGTTTAAAGGCATATTGGTAAGAAAACTATCCTGGGATTTCAGTACATTTTAATGAATATAAAAATAATAACAAAAATAAGTAAGTTTCGCGCACTAAAGAGGACAAAGACACTCGCTAGCCTAAATTATTTTTTCATCTACTACTTTTTAAAAGTTATGTTTAATAATAATTAATTCACATAATAATAATACAAAATAACAGTCCTTAAGTTACAAATTACAAGTCTCAGAATTTCAATCTAACCTGGTTACAATAAAATATGTATTAAAAAAAACATTCAAAGAATAAAAACCCCGCGAAGTTAAAATATTAAAAACGTTAAAAGTTAGTGGTAAAAAAAAAAAAAAATCATAATAGAAACATGTACTGTTATCGGTTTTTTTTCTTTTTTAACTAGTATGTGTGGGTTTAAGTACTCGAAATGTAACAGGTTTACACTGTAAATTTGCTAAAATGAAACGATAATAATTTACTCAATTAATAAAAACATAATTATGTAACTGAACTCCTGAAAAGCATTTAAACGCTCAGGACATAATGATATATATATATATACGCGCACAAACCTGCGACATTTTTTTTTTTTTTTGCATAACAAAATAATATGTGATGAGCAGTAAGAGAGCAAACGATTTTTGTATTAATAGAAAGAAAAAAAAAGTGCTGACAGAACTGTTGTTTTTTTTTTTTCATTTCGTTTTTCATGGCGACTTGATTCAATTTAGGAATGCTTAAAATGAGATCTACATTAACATCGGAGGTATTTGAATGTAACGGTAGATGTAAAGCCGATAGTCTTTGCTGGCCAGCACGACGGACCCGTCGTCCATGAGAGCGACGTCGAAGCACTGGGCGTGTTTGACTTTGGACTCGAGGGCAGAAACCAGCTGTCCCTCCTGGGTGAATATGGTCAGATTGAAATTGTTGTGATTGTCGGCGATGAGTATCTCGCCGGAGGCGTTTATGCCCACACCGATCGGATAGTTGGTGATGCCCTGGCTGCCGATTTGCCGCAGGTACTGGCCCTCGTAGTTGAACACCTTGACGCAGTGCGCGCGGTTGTCGGATATGAATATCTCCTGTTTGTCATTGACCACCACACCGTTGGGGAACTCCAGGTGCTTGGAGCAGCCGAACTTGACGAGCACGTTGCCGGCCTGGTCGAATATGATGACGCGCATCACCTTACACTCGACCACTACGATGCGGCCCTTATTGTCGACGGTGATGCCACGGGGATGCTGCAGTATGTTGGCGCCGAACTTGCGGACGAACTGCCCGTATTGGTTGTAGATCTGTATCTGGTGCGTGGGCGACCGTTCAGTGACGATTATGTCGCCGGACGGTTTTACCACGGCCACGCGGTTCGGGTACAACAGCTGCCCGTCCCGTTTGCCGCACTCACCGAACTGGAACTTGAACCTACCCTCCTTGTCGAATATCTGGATCCGGTGGTTGTTGGTATCCGCCACGATGATGTCGTTCTGCGCGTTCACGGCCACGCCACTGGGCTCCGTGAACTGACCCTCCATGGCGCCGAACTCGCCGAACTTGCAGTGATAGATCATCTTGTGCCGCTTGATCTGCGATTTGGGCGGGAATATGGACGCGGTGAACAATTTGCTGGACAGGTCCAGAATGGAATCGTTGTTGTCGATGGTCAACGGGAAGTCAGCCGCGCTGCCGTTCTGGAATATGTCACCGCTGCCGCCGTTCGACCATTTCTCGTACGGGTTGATGGTGTTCAAGCCGCTCATGCCGTTCATGCCGTTCATGTTGCCAATGGCGTTCAGGTTTAGGTCGCCGATCGCGCTGGCCGAAAACGGTCCCAGGCTGTTGACGCTATTGAAACGCTTCGACAGTATGTTGTTCGTGTCGTACTGGCCGGACAGCGGGCTGGTCGACGTCAGACCGTTGGAGTACGGCCGTTCTATCACGCCGTTACCGCCGTTGGACACGGTACCGCCGCCGTTGTGCTGGAGTAGATCCGCTGGTCCTCCGCCGCCACCGCCGCCGCAGCCGTTGCTGCTGCCGTTCAAACAACCGTTAACCATCGTCGAGTTACCATTCATTAGCGATCCGTTGGTCGGACGAGCGATCGGCGGCTGCTTGCCGGGTCCGATCACGCCTAGCTCGGTGCTGGACCGCACGTAGCCGAACGTGTTTCTCACGCCCACTTGGATGGCCTGGTAGTTGGACACGAATTCCAGGTCGCAGATGTTCTGCACGCTGTTGTCCGGCTCGTAGCTCATCAGCGACTGCAACTTAGAGTCCAGCAGCTTCTTGAACAGCAAACATTCCACCACGTTGGCGTTCTTGGTCAGGCGATCGACGAACTCGCCGGTCTGGTAGATCTTATCCACCACCTCCAGTCCCTTCTGCGACGCTTCGTTGAGCGTCAATTGCTTGGCGCTGTGCACGCTCTCAACCTCCTTGAGCAGCTCCTGCTTGCGCTCCTCGAGCATCGACCGGTAGAACGCGAACGTCTCGTTGATCTCATTCTGGGCCTTGTGGTACTGGACCTGCAGCTTGTTGGACGTGTGCTCGATGGTCTTCACCATGTTCCGGATGTCGGTCGCCTTGGCCTTGCTCTCCTGCACCGTGCCGTTCAGCACGTCCAGCAGTTTGACGCCGATGTCGCTCAGGTGCTCCACGTCATGCATGCTAAACTGATGGTCGCTCAGCGTGCACTCCTTGCACACCGGTACGTTGCACGTGCGACAGAAGTACTTGAGCGGCTCGTTCTTGTGACGCGAACAGAACACCACGCGATCGCCCACGCTGGTCGGCACGAACGCGTTCTTGGTGTCGTCGCCGCTGTTGTCGAACGTCAGGCCGTGCAGGCGATGATCCTCGAAGCAGTTCATGAACTGGTGGGCCATCATGCAGTTGGCGCACAACGTCTGCTGACAATCGTAGCAATAGGCTACCACGTTCGTGTTGAGATTCTTGCAGCCCTTGCACACGCCCGCGAACTTGTCCGGGTTGACTTCGATGGACCCGTTTACAGTGAAGTCTGGCAACAGGCCGGATATGCCGCGGTTCGAAAGGATGCACTCCTGATGGCAGTTCGGGCACGTGATCTTCTCCGGCTGGTCCTGGTTGTTTTCTAGGCACGTGTGACAGAACGTGTGTAAACAAGGCAGCACTCGTGGGTTCGAGAATATCTCATGGCACAACTGACATTTCCGCGGACCGGTGTTGTTGCTCGTTCCGCTGCCGCCCGTGGACACGCCCGATGCGCTGCTGTCTGAGTCGGTCGGCGAGTGGCTGGACGATAACGATCTGTTGTAGTCCGGGCCGAACGTGTTGAATCCGGATAGCGAGTCTAGAGACGGCGTAGGAGAAGCCATCGTTCAATCCAACAACGGGTTTAAATCTGTAACAAGCAGTAATCAACAATGAAGGAAAAGATTGCACAGAAATCATCTCTTGGAAAATAAAAACACGCACGAGGCGTTATTATAATAATAAGTACACAAATACGAGTGTTTATTATTTTATTAATGTTGGGATAACACGATGTGAATAATAAAGGCTATTGCCTCTGGTGAATTTATGAATTTTCAAACTATGGGTTATCGCCACCGATAAATATTGTCGGAGGCAGATTACCATGGTTACCGCTGGCGTAGCATCATCAGCACGATTCCACAGGGAAAAAACCTTCATTTCCGCCATTGACCTCTCTACCATCACCTGTGCCACCCACCACCTAATCACCCTATCCTTGCAGCGCACGCGCATCCTAAAGCATTTGTGTTGACACTCAGCAGTTCGTGACTACACACAGCCACAAGGGTCATTGAACTGTAAACTGTTCCGATCGCGACCGTTAAACTTCCTGATTTTGTCACAATAACACCAAATATTTCTTTTTTTTTTCAATTTCATGTTTTAAATTATTAAATATGATACATTTATAAAATAAGAATAGATTTCAATCTCAACGCTAAAGTTATAAGATTATATCACTAAAAAAATAAATAGCTTCCGAATAAATCTATCGACATTTTTTTAATTATAAACTGAACACGTTTTACTTACTATCGTACCTACATATTTTTACGTGGAAATTAAATAAATGAAAATTTATGTATTTTTTTAAATTAAAATATACTGATTAACAACAAACGTCTAAGTATGAATAGAAACAGAGACATATTCTTGCCACCCCCGGGCATACGTGTTATGGAAAAAATTTAAAATCGAAGGAGCGGCACTCGAGGTGGCCCGTTTGTTGGTTTTGCCGTTATTTTTCTATTCAAACAACAATAGCTTAAAGAGTGTACACGTTTGTCAAGGGACAACAATAAAGTAAACGAGCTCACCTACCTGAGAGGAAATAATAAAATGATGAAATAAAAAAAAAATGCTTTTGTTAATACGTCGATTAACGTTCTACAAGGATTAACATAATTTTTCGGACACACACATGACTGACATGGGTTTCTATACAACTAAGAAAACTATAATATATAAACTTGTACCGTCGTGTATGAGAACTAAACAATTTGTAGGGTAATGAGACCGCTTTTGCGTTGCGGTGAGGAAGCGACGTATACATACACCGGGGACTTGTGAGAAATAACGTGTCAACGGGGGGCCCATCTTCTGAAAGGTGGTTCTGTTGTACATATATTTCCCCCTATCCTTTCATGTTTATTAACTAAAAATGTTTAAAAGGATCCATGCCCCGCAGATTTTTTTTTATTGAGCAGTTTTATTGCTATTTTTTCACTCGGCTGCTAATCTTGGTTTTTAAAAAACACCCCTAGTCATACATATGTCTTGAAAAACGACTTTGCTGCTACCTCGACATATATTTACCGGCTAAAACCTTAAACGATACTGCAATAGGGGTGATTCGAGAAGAAAACGCATTATGGAGACGACGCAGCAGCAATGCGGGGGTGAAGTATACTAGGGGTCGATTTCCGACGTTACCACGGCAACTAGTTGCTTCTGTGTGTAAGACTGAAACAATGGCATTTTGCATCGTTGTTTCTCTAGAGACCACACTCTTGAAAAATTATGACAAAAGGTGATTTTTTTTTTCGAGTAACACGTGAGATATAGCAAAATATTATTTTCGTTATCTGATATCTGATACTTATTCAAAATAATTAATATTTTTATGAATTTGGGTATTTAAAATATTTATGAAAATAAATAACAAAATTTAAATGAAATAAATAAAGGTACATTACGAAAATTATAACTTCCTATCGATAATTTTCTATAGATTTGATTTCTATTTCAAAATTATTAAATACTAAAATTTCATGAAAAATTATCTACATATTAAAATCGGCATGTCTGACATATTAGTATCAACAGCATATAGGTACTTACACCTTAAATAATTTCAATACGACACAAATTATTATTGCGGGTGGTCTGAAGATTTAAATTATTTTTAACAACATGAAAAAAATATAAACGTGCAATTGACCTTGGCGGAGTGTCTAGACATTCTTTTGGTCCAGCTGCAATATGAAACATAGATGGGGACCAACCCCGCGTATTACTAAGCCATAACTCGTTGTTCACCGATTTTTTTTTTATTACTTTACTTTTTTTGTTGTCTGGTTAAATTCTAAGAAACTCCAAATCAGATAATCAGACACATTTTCTTCGACAATTTTATCGCGTAATCAAAATCACAAATCATTATCAGTATAATTTTTCGAAAAAAAAAAACGATCAGGAGAAAATGGAGGGGTTAGATTAAGTTGGAATTGTACGCAACAGGGAGAACTAACGTTGGATTATTGATTCGCCTTGGGGGAGGACCTTGAGTTCGAGCGCTCGCGTGAATAACTAGGGTCGACGACCGCGATTTCCTACAAAAAAAACTTCCTTTTACCTCTAAAACAAAACAGTACTACAAATAGTTAGGGAGAGTGAAAACTCCAATTCGTGCACTTCAAAAATTTGAAAAAAGCAACTACCTTATTTAAGACAGGAAAACATTCACATTAAGAACGAAATAATTTTATTTCATTTATTAAAATGTAACGGTTAAACATTCAAATATTTGCGTTTGTCATAAAAAATTATTTTTTTGTGTTAAATTAAATTACAAGTAATCAAGTATCAATGCAAACATTTCGAAGAACTAAACTTAATCTTAACTAAATCCCTAAAGCGTAGGATAAAATATAAGTATAATACATTCATTATTTTACATTCGGTGTTCAATGAAATATAAAAATAAAAAAATTCCGTCAGAGATAGACCATACATTTACGTTCTTCATTGTTTAGAAATCAGAATTGTGCTCTTTGTATCGACATAGTAATATCTTAGGAAGCGACATAATTATGGTTATCGTGTTTCTACAATCAACTACAAATAATACACGGTTTTTTTACTTAAACCGACCAAAATATTTTTGTTTTTTATTCCAAGACCTAATTACCGTTAATCATTGTTTTTAGTCAGAGATACGTTTGTGGTGATATGTAAATAAAATTAGAGATGACAAATAATGACAACCATGACTTGGGCTACAAAAATCAAAAATAAACGATATCCACGGTGACCAGTGATGACGAAGCGAAGTAAACACGTACGTTACAGTGTGGCCAACACCGTTTAACTACGACTATCTGCATAGACCTTAACCTTGGTGCGCGTAAATATTGCGGTAGGTCGAAAGTGTGAAAACGTATATAAACTAGTGCGCACATATATATCTATATATATATATATATATATATATATATATATACATTATACGCACGAGTTCAATCCGGTTTCAGAGATTCTACACGATTTATTTACACCATAGGCTATGCACGAAAGAGAGTTTTGCCATATATGTTCATATATGCTTACACACACACACACATATATATATATATATATGTGTGTGTATAACTAATAATATAGTATTAAATAACATTTTACGTTTCGTTAGAACGATCTAAAAACAAGTAAGAAATACGTACGAAGCACATCATGTGATCGTAATATGTGGCGACAGCATTGGTTACGTCAGTGGTTCCCAAACGTATCCCCAAAACAAAAAAAAAAATTAACGCCTCCT